CATTATTTGTTTGATGCCGTTGCCTGATATTGCGGTATTAATTTTTGATATATAAACTAAATTATTGGTAAATTTTTGCTGTGCAACACAATGCTTTTATTTATCCAAGTGTGTGTGAACATATTTTAGTCAACCCTGCTGCTGGTGCTGCTGCTGCTGTTGACTTGCCGAAACAACAACAATAACAGCTGAAAGTACAATTGTTGTTTTAGTTGATGTTTCTTGCTCGCACATTGGTTGAATCTAAAAATATCATTGGGTAAAATCCAAAATCATTATGAGTTTATTTAAATGGTGCATTACTATGAACTCATAAATACTTAATGTAATAATTACTAAAAAGTTGAATTGATGGGCCACGCCTAGCCACTCCTACAGACCAAGTACATGTAACTTGTGGTCTGAAAATATTAAATATATGACTTCTATTTGGAAGAATTGAATGAGTTACTAAGAAGGAATAACTTTTATTTTGGATATTATTATTTTAATGATATTTAGTTCGTTTTTAGATTTTTTTGTTATTATTGTTGGGCCGTTGATAATAGTTGCTACACTTAAATTGTCCTGCAATTCCTTAATTAGCAGCCTCGTCCCATTGCATATGCTTGGAAGACTTTAATTTCTCAAAAACAGTGGCGGCAGTCCAGATTATTATGAAGGATTCCATTCTTTTTTGCAAATATAATATAGCCCATGTTCGCCGTCGATAGTGAAGCTTCACAGCAGTGAAAGAATCTATTAAATTGGTCCAGTAGATTCCGAGCCTTTTCAATTCAAACAAACAAAGAAACATACAAACAAACAAACAAACAATCAAATCTTTCCTCTTTATAATATTAGTATAGATGTACCCAAATAGTAAAATGGTACACAAGTTTGGGGGCGATTTTGACATTGACATATATCTTATATATCATATATCATAACTTAGTTGAAACCTATTCAAGGCCTATAACAAAATGCTCTGAAAAGGATATGTGGCCGCTTGTTAGATCTAAAGCTTATCATTTCCGTCATGGTGTATCGAGTTAATATTCGAAAACTGGGATTAGTTTGTTGATCGGGATTTTAGATCAATGATCAATGGCAGAAACTTACCTCAGTTTGGCCCCCATAATTTCTAGGCACTAATATAAGATATATAGTAATTTTTTAATGAATAGCGAATACATGTAAAATATATATTTGTGTAAAACGAACACTGTTGACCAGTGTGCACTGAATAATTTTTCGACGGGCATACCCAGGCATATATTTGTTTGGCTTCATGTTTGGCAGTTTAGTTATTCGATTTTTGCATGTACTCTCAAGTGTAAAAGTCTATCATTTTCGCATGTCCGGCCATTGGCACGCAGCATTGCCGCTCTCCTCTCGCCACAATATTGGGCCACAATATAAGCATCAGACGACAACCGCAACACAACAGGCAGTGAAGTGTGTAAGGAAAAGTGCCAATCAAAGTTAATTGAAAATTCATTGAATGTTGTATATTTAAGTGCGGCTCACAAATAACTTTAGCCAGCCTCTGCTGCGTACGAGTATGTGTGTGAGTGTACGTCTTTGTATCTGTACACATTGCCTATTTGTATTGCTTCTTGTCGGCTCTTGGCTGTTTGCAGTTGGGCTAACAATGTAAACATTTTAGAGCATGAAATAAATACCTTAATTTGCAGCATATTAGAAAGACTATAACAGCAAATCTTGGGCATTTAAATAAGAGTACATATTCGACTTTGCATTTAAATTTTGTCAAAGTTCAACGGCCATATTTATGTATTGCACAAAAAGTAGTCATATATTTTGAATCCTTTGATTGCAGAAAACTTAAATAATAGAACAACACCATAAATGAAAGGAAAGAGCATTGTCAAATAAATCTAAACTATTCATTTATTCTGTAATTAGTTCTAACTGAGCTGTTAAAAAAAAATACAGATAGTGTGTAAGAAAAACTGATAGTAAATCTGTTTTGAAATTTTTCAATTTTAATAACGTTCTGTGTTGGAATTATCGGTACAAATAATTCTTACCTTGTTCATAACGACACTTAAACAAATGGGATTTTTTTAGTCGTCATTGTAATCTAATGTATAATCGAATGGGCTGTTTTACTCGTTTCATTTCATATATTATTTATAGTCTGTATTTTAACGATGGTGGACCTCACGAATTATGAATGTACTATACATATTTTCTTGGTCAGCAGGAGAAACCGTTCTGAACATATCCATCTGTCCGCCTTTTTAGAGTTACCAATCTGCAGGGACAAGTTTGCATTTTTGTACTCCCGACATATCCCCCCAATCTGTAATTAGAGATTAAAAAATATAAAAACTAGAATGTACAAATATATTTATCAAAATCCAAAGGAGACCTAATTTAACAATTACCTCCCGTTAGTGATGTTGAATTGAGACCATTGCTTTAGAGCCCATTTAGTCATGTGACAAATTATGGAGCAATCATTTTAATTCAGCCAGAAGTGCTGATCAGTGCCTGTAAAGGAAGAAAGGCAATGCATTTTTCAATATACTGGATGTGCTTTGAATCTATTCGACGGTATCCTCCGGGGGAAAGGAAATTAGTCTTTCAATATACGGACGACATTGGAGAACAGAACAGAACATAACTTCGTTGAGAAGTGTTAAGCCGTAGTAGCTGCAATCTATTGTCCAGTCATGGAATAACAATAATAATAATGCATGTCCATCTTCATGCAATTAGTAAATTTTATATTTTGTATAACCTTGGAGCAGCTCTCTATCTGTGCTTCAAGAGAAATTATAAATAACAGACATATGTATGAGAGCAATGCACAAGGACAAATATAGGTAATAAAATATAACATATATCGGTAGTATAGTTTTTATCCTTTTGGTGCCGCTAAGAACAAATGCGCTAAGAACAAAATGTCATAAATTGAAGCCAAATTGGTCTAGAATCTTGTCCTTCTGTTATTTGTCCGTGAGCACACGATCAATAGGGGGTTTCTTCATTTGAAAATTGACTAGGAGTTCCGCCATAAATGCAATTTGTATGAGATTTTCTGTAAAATGCTTTCTATTTGCCTTTTCTTGTGCTGGGGCTGCCTTGTGCAGTCCTGAACTATAAATACAGACACGGCAAGCAAGCGCAGCGTGTAGGCTGCTGTTGAAGTCAAGGCTTCTACTGCACTTACCACTTACGCACCATATTCACAGCCACATTCGTACTCTGTGTCATTTGCGTTGCGCTCAAGTTGCCCCGGTACATATACTTGTATATGTATGTATATATAGTATTTACAGTTACAGCAGTGGTGGTGGTAGTGGCATTGGCAGTGGCAACGGCAGCGTCGGCGCTAAAAGTGTTTACCTTTTACTTAAGAAATTACACTTGGGCAAACAGAATTTGCGTGCGCACTCACCAAAGCTGGTGCCGTGGCCACTCGTGTGCGGAGGCGGAAGTCGGAGTGGCTGTAAGAAATCAAACGCTAGCCAAGCAACCGCCAGAGATGCCGCCTATTCGTTACCGCAGCCTACAAATTGAAAAGTTTTCTTGTTGCTTTCGGACTATTTGGTTTGGTTGGAGGAGCTGAGGCATTGGATTGAACGATGCTCTTGGCACTTTGCATCTATGTATGTCTGTGTGTTCCTCTAGCTGTATGTATTTGTGAATGTGTATGTGTGTGTGTCTTTAAATGTGTGCGTGTTAAATGTTGACTCTTGTGCGCTAATAGCAAAAAAGCGTGCCCCAAGTCCTGACTTTTGTGATTGTTTCTGGCGAGACAAAAGTAAAAAGTTCAAAAGTTGCGCCTGAAGGGAATTTGCAAACGCTTAAAGTTTTTAATCAGCGGTCAATGCAGCTTAGATTAAACATGGAATAATTTGTGGCTGCAGATATTTTATGTATTATACAAATATTCTTGTTTAATTCATCAATTATTTAACATTGGAGCTGAACACATGTAATTTTGAAATTATGATCTTTGAAATGAGATCGGAAATGAATTTGCTGGTTTATTTGTGTCTTATTTGATCAAAAATACGAAAACTCGTATATTAATAGGCAATTTACAGTTTATAATTGTTATTTTTCTAGAATTGTGGATTTGTGGCACGTTTTTGTGGTATATAAATTTTTTTCTATTAGTTAGTTCTATTAAAGCAATGTGAATCAAGAAACATTCTACATTAAACGTAGATAATAACTATAAGAGCAAAGCTATTTAGTCGCCTTTTTTTTTTGTTTGCTTTAAATTCAACAATTACTTTTTTCTTCATTTTAGTGCCATTATGGTAAAGAATCGAGTTACACTATTTGCTCCAATAGGAGGAGTTCTAGCTACCTGCTCGACATTTACGATATGTACAGCGAAAAATGGAAGAATAGGTGTCTAGAATTAATAAAAACTAGCACAATTAAAAAAAAAAATTCCACCAAGCCAGCGTAGCGCTGAAACCTATAATAATTAAAGAATTTAAGTACATTTTTGAGCTGGCCTTTATTTAGGGTTTTTAGTTTATTTCGACAGCTTAATATTTTACAGACTGCAAGTAATTTTTCCAATCAGGCTTTATGCTTTAGCTCGTTGAGCTATGCCAGGCCTCCACTAAATTAGTGAAATATTCAACTAAGTGAATGCAGTCCCATCCATTTTTAATCTCAATAGCATTTAGCAATTAAAGTTTTCACTTTGTTGAATGAAAATAATTTTTAAAAACATATAAAAGTTTCAAAAGCATACGTTTTCGTAGTGTTTTGTCTAAGTACAGAGTTGAGTTGTCAAGACCAACACAACTCCTGGTACTTATAGGATTAAATGCCTTTACACTTCGCCTAACACAACAGGCACAGAAGCACTAACAGACTGTCATGGCTATTTCAAGTTGTCTTTTCATACTGATCAAGAATCCATCCGTGTGTTAGTCTGTACTTGCACCAACCTAGTATATCCCTTGACCCTTTGACCAAAACACTACAATTTAAATTTTGAAATATAGATATCATTATCAAAGTGGTAATTCGCTTTTGTCTGATTGTTTTATTTGCTGATCATAATTTGGGATCCCCATTATATTATGAGGTCGATAGCTTCTTAGAAATGCAACGCTTTTTGACGGTAAGCGCGACGGAGCCCTTGCTTTCGGCTATGGAGCTGTGCGGACGTGGTTGGGTGGTCCCAATGGACATGCCCACGCCACTTGGTCGACCCACAGCTCTGACGGATTGTGCAACGTCTTGGGTTGGCTGTTCGGCCTTGTCTTTCTTCTTTCCGGCAGCTATATGGGCCTTCAGCTTGTGATAGCATGGATGAGATGGGTGAAAACCGGGCTCGAAATGCGATTCCGATGGCTCACTCTGTGATGAGTAACTCGATGAAGTCTCAATACCGGATTGGTCGTCTTGATTGTCGTGCTCGGCGCACACTTCAGACAAGCAACTTTCACTTGTCGTATTTAGTTTATCTGGAATACTTAGTTCGGAATCACCGAACTCTTCGGCTATTAGACGTCTGGCCAATGGCACAGTCAAAAATTCCTTGTAGTGTAGTTTGCGACGGCGCTCGAACTCCAGGCGACCCACCTTTTCCTCAAGAGATTCGGGAAAGTCATCATCGCCTGACGAATCGTCCGAGTCGTTATCCATTCCAAAGGCCGGCGTTTCTGATTGCGCAGCTCGACGTAACTTTTCCATTAGAGTTTCCGTGTCCAAAACATGAGCCGGCTCATCATCGAATACAAATGGGGTCTTTGGCTCATCGATAACCATGTGGCCATAATCCTTGTTAGCTGGATGAAGGGTTTCCAACACATTCATCTCATCGAACTTGGCTCTCTTTAATGAGATGGTGGGTTCGGCCTTAACTCCATATGCATTTTTTAATATACTTGTCCTGGAAGGCTCATTCTGATTGCGCTGCATGGCAAAGGGTAAGTGTAGGAAACTGATTGCGTGTAAATATCTTTATATTTTTGTGTTTTTTTTTTAAGTTTTTTTTATTTTAGTTTATGTGTATGTTGAAGCTTTAGAGTAACTGAAAAAACATCCAGGCAATGTGAGGGTTTTAAAAAAGCCCACCTTGTTGCAGGCCTCTAAATGTTACAATCTTTATCCGCTGCTTCTCTTTCAATATCCCTTGATTTCTTATGTTCTTGTAGAGCTTTTTTTTGGTCAAGTTTTCTAAAATTGTTCACATAGTACAATCGCCACTTGGCTAGCTTTTTAATAAATTCAACGCTAATTTTCCATGATTGGATGAAGTATTTGTACTTATAGTATTCAACACAGTATAAGCCAGTTATTTACTGCAAGGCCTTGAAACAACTTCAGGAGCTTATACACTTAAAAAGCGATTTCTTTTCTGATTCTCGCAAACGAGTAGATTCTTTAGTTTATTTATGTGTCTCTTCATATATTTATTTTCTCTAAGCTAAAGTATATTTCATATCAAATTATGTAAGGTCCATAATCTTTCTAATTGTATGATTTTGCATTGCCGTCGTACCGCGTTATTCATAAACATTTTTTGTGTGCAGAATATATTTGTATTTTAATGGATATAGCTATATAGATTTGTGTAGTAGTTGATTGAATTAAACTTAACTTTTTTTTTTTTTTTTTTTTTTTTTTTTTTTTTTTTTTTTTTTTTGAAGTTTTTACATATATACAATTTATTAAACTAGTTTTCTACTACCAATATGGCAGCTTAAGCTAGTTGAAAGTTAGGGAATACAAAAGTTGTCTATAGTAAGCATCTATAGGACGCTCTTATATCTATGTACATATATACAATATTTACAATGTTTTACATGAAAAATGATTATATTTTATGATATATACTATGTATTTTATACAAGGGCTCTTGTGGGGAGATCCTTTGGATGGCACTTCTTCAGTCTTCTCTTCTTAGGTTTGGACAGGAGCCGCCTCGCTAGTGCGTTGGGGTGACTGCCGAGTCGCTTCTCGTAATTGCTTGCGTGCATTTGAATGACATCGCCAACCTTGGGGACACATAAGTCTCTTTCGATGTCCCTAGTGCGCATATACCAGGGAGCGTTGCATATTTTTCTAAGTATTTTAGCTTGCGCAACTCTTATTTTGTTTAGGTTTGAAGCAGCGGCAATGCCATAAATTGGTAGCGCATACTTCCATATTGGACTTAATATGGACTTGTATACTGTCACCTTACTGTGCAGGGACAGCTTGTTGCATGGTGCAAGCAGCCATGCCATCTTTCCGGCTTTCGCCATGACCGATCGCTTCACCATTGTTGTATGCTTGCTGAAGTTGAGTCTTCTGTCCAGAATTACACCAAGATATTTGTGCGAATTTGTATGACTGAGCGTGGACCCCAACATTGTGATATCTCCGCATGACGACGGCCTTGTTGTAAATGTGACATTCGCACACTTGCTGGCGTTGATACCAATGTTCCAATTCAGAGCCCACTTCTCGAAACTACTTACATACTGCTGTAAGGCTTCCGAAGCTACATCGATATCTCTGCTTCTGGTAAGCACCGCAGTGTCGTCTGCGTAAGTAGCTATTAGTGCGTCATCCTCGTCTACTCCAATGATCTCTTGCGGTGCAGGCATATCAGCAGTAAATAATGTATACAGGGTAGGACCGAGAACACTGCCTTGGGGCACCCCTGCACAAATTGAGCGCCTCGTGGATTTCACTCCATCAACAGCAACTCTGAAGCTTCTGTCCCTTAGAAAGCTTTCGATGAGTTGAAACAATTGAGGAGTTAGCATGCCTTTCAATTTGCAGAGGAGACCATCATGCCACACTCTATCAAAAGCTTGTTTAATATCCATAAACACAGCCACTGAGTACATCTTTTGCTCCATGGCTTCCAGGGCGAAGTTGACCACACGGTGGAGCTGTTCCGGTGTTCCGTGACTTCTTCGAAAACCAAATTGCCATTTTGGAATTCTGCGCGTCACGGCTTCGAGCTGGAGAATCCGGTCCAGAATCACGCGTTCCATCATCTTCCCGAGGGCAGGTAGCAGACTAATCGGCCTATATCCATCTACTTCAGTATGCTGTTTCTCTGGCTTTGGAATCATCGTAATTAGCGCCATTTTCCAGCAGTTTGGAAAGTGCCTCAGCCTGAGTATGTTATTCATGAGCAAGACAATATACAGCAGAGCCCTTGTGGGGAGCAGTTTCAGCGTCCTGTTGTCTAAAAGGTCTTCTCCAGGCGCTTTTTTTACCTTTAGATTTTTTATCTGCTGTACCACTTCTTGAAGTGTAACTGGGCTTGCAGGCAAGGCCATTTGGAATGGCATCTCCAGCCTAAGCTCGACTACCCTTCGCCTATCTGCTGTTGTAAAGTCAAAAGGCTTAAATCTTTCCTCTAGGCTGTTTGCAAAGATTTCAGCTTTCTGCTGACTGGAGTAGCTCCATCCACCTGTAGGATCCTTAATTGGAGTCTTAGGGATGACCAGCCTCTTAAATCGCCTCGTAAGCTTCCAGAGCGAGTAATTAAATGATGCATCTGGACCAGCACTTTCCAATATGTCATCAATTCTGCCTTGTCTGATTTTAGCAAGCTCTTTTTGCAGTCGATTGGACAGTCTTTTGTAGATTTGATGAATGCGAGTATCTCCAGTTCTTGCATATTCTTTCCTGACTCTTCTTTTCAGGCTTAAGAGCGCAGCAGCCGTTGGTGGTAGACTAGCTTGACTATGTTGGGTTGGCAAGCGTAAAGTTTTCGGTGCAGCAGAAGACGCAGCCAGTGAAATGTTCTTCATGAGGATTGATATCGCGTCTTCGATATCCTCTGGGCTGTTAATTTCGACGTTCAGGTTAATTCTTCTTTCGAGATCGGCTTTAAAAACATCAATACGGGAGCCAGGTGGTAGAATATATTCCCTCTTGGGATTATATTGCGGTGCATGATGTAGCGTCGCTACTACTGGAAGGTGATCCGATGCGAGCTCATATTTTGTTTCAACGGTGAGTCTGTTTAGGGCAATCCTGTTGACAATAAAGAAGTCTAGTGCAGAGGGGTTAAGTCGTGTGTTGTAAGAGTAGAAAGTTGGCTCTCCAGTAGCAAGAACTTGGCAAGTAGTACTAGCTATGGCCTCTTGCAAACACCTTCCTCGCCTGCAAGATCTGGAATTACCCCACCATTGGTGTTTTGCATTAAAATCACCGCCTACAATAAACTTATCTCCTAAGGTTGCAAGCAATAGATCAAAGTCGGCCCTGCACCAAGCTTCATTGGGAGGAAGATATAGGGAGGAGACTTTGATGCTTCCACCATTCGTCGGTATAGTTACGCTGGCCGCTTGGATGCTTGTTTTTAGAATTGGCTCATTCTGTGAATGAGCGATACTTGATCTAATGATGACTGCAGAACCACTTTTAGCGGTGCCACTAGGATGATTAGCGTAGTACTGGTCGTATCCTGGCAAATATGCGTTCAAGCCAGGACGCATATGCGTTTCGGTTATTAACATGATATCGATCGAGTTTGAACTTAGGAAAAGCCTGAGTTCATCATTGTTTTTGACCAGGCCCCGTGCGTTCCATAATCCGATTTTTAACAGCGGATTTAACATTTGGATATTAGTTTTTGTACCAAGTCACGGAAGGCTCTATTGGAATCCATATTTTCCTGTATGAGCTTATACATTTGATCCATTCTTGCGTTTAGATCTAAAATCGCCTTTTCCAGCATACTAAATTTGTTGTTTAGATGCCAATCTTCGGCGGAACTGTGTGATCGGGGCGAGTTTTGGTTTGTTGGCGCGCTGGTACGTTTTTCTCCAATTGGCCTAGCTGCATCAGCATAAGAGAAGCCACTCTTAACAGTAGAGTTTGAGATAAACTGTACTTTAGTGCCTTGGTTATTTGGGTAACTCCTATTGCTACCGATAACTAGTCCATCTTTCGGCAACCTCACAGCTGGCTTAAGTTTTTTGGCTAGATCAATTCTTACCTTGCAGCCTCTGAAGCTCGACATGTGGTCTTCGCCGCAATTAGCGCATATAAATTCCCCATTATCATTCAGGTTACATGATTTTGAGCCAGTATCATGGTCCCCCGAGCATTTACCGCAAACCGGCTTTTTAAGGCAATAGTTCCTCGTGTGCCCGAAATCTTGGCATCTGAAGCATTGTACCAGCACTTTACTCTGTTTGGCCTTTGATATTGTAACCCTGTGTCTACCAATTTGAGTTATTTTTAGTGCCTCAGCAACGTTGGGTGCGTTCTGGAGGTTAACGTAAAACATATTTTGTCTTGTTTTAACATTATTTATGTCCTCACCATCCTCCTCATTAATTTGAATGTTACGCCAGTCCGGTTTTCTGGGGCAATATATATTCAAAACTGTAAAGCCCTTGTCGGTAAAGGTGCGCTCTATTAATTGCCTGGGTACATTGGGATGAATATCTCTGAGCACCAATCTGCAGGGTTTGTTCTCCTTCAACTGGTGGTGCCAGAATTGACAATTTTGATTGGACAATAATTTGATTATTGCACGAAACGCATTCGAATTCTTCGTATAAATACGCGAGATCCCAGATTTCGATGTGCGTATGTCGTAATCGTTAGGGGAGACAGCAGAATTGAGCGCCACCTCCAGCTTATCCAATTTGTTGACTTGTGGCACACATATAGCAGGAGGCTTAGGAATACTACTTCCCTGCTGGAAACGGCTGGCTTCATTTTGCTGGCTCGATGGATCTTCGGAATCTGGCTCTTCCATTTCCATAATGGAATCAGCTTCTTCCGAAAGGGCTGCAAATCTATTATTTTGAAGCGCTGGCGGAGAGGAGGACGCAGTTCGTTGTCCCTGGGTTGTATTGACAGGAGTTGGCTTATTTTTTTGAGCCGATTTTAGTGACTCGACGGCTCCTTTCCGCTTCCTATTAATACCGGGTACTGGCATTTGAAACGAGCAAAATTTGTCCAGAGTTGGATTTGCAACTAAGTTTGTGATTGAAGCCGGTGTACTCACAACGGCGGGTGTGGAGCACAAACTGCCATTTGATGTCGCTACTGTAGTATACGTTGAT